TACTCTGTGTAAATATACGGAGTAATTAGAACGCACTCAAAAATTTCTAACTTGTGATCTGAAACTTTTAGAGTCTATTCTTTTCGTGTTATCCGAGTGCAAACAATCTTACTCCACTTACTCCGAAAACAATTAGATATTACTCCACTTATTCCGAATAAAAAATCCGAATTGATGGAGTATAAAAAAGTCAAATATTGGGTACTCTAAAAACTCCGTGAGCACTGTAAAAGTCAAAATTTTTCTAATTCGAGTAAAAAGACTCAAAAAGCTCAGAATACAACGGAGCATCTAGAGTTGTGTTCAGCTTTTTCACTCCAAGTAATTTGTAGCTACCCCAACTGTTCGATTACGGTTTTTTAGAGTATATAGAGTATCAACTGTGTATGTTTGTTTATACGGAGTGGAGTAAACAAATCTTACATTGGCTCTAAAATCATACGAAGAGTAGTCAAGTTGAAATCAATCTGTCAAATTGAACATCTAGTATCTACTCTTTGTACGTCGAATATCAATAATCTTACTCCGTTTACTCTAAAACGGTTTCCGAACCAATAAAGTATAGCTACTATAAATGTTCGGAAATGGCTTTTTAGTGTAAATAGAGTAGTTAGAGTAACTAAAACACACTTGCGAGAGTAAATAATCTTACTCTTTTTACTCCGAAAACAATTGGTGGAGTATAAAAGAGTCAAATAGAGTTTAATTGGGACCTTTAGAGTACTCTGTATTCACTCTAACTGTTCAATTATTTTTTCTTTAGTGTAATTATATAGAGTAGAGCAATAAGAACTCACTCTAAAGGTTTCACCACCTGATCTCAAACTTTTAAAATCTACTCCTTTTGCTCATTTCTTGTTTCCTGAGTGCAACTAATCTTACTCCACTCACTCCGAATCCAATATCCGAATCAGTGAATTATAGAATAGTGGAAAATCATGCAATATTGGGTATTCTAACTGTTAAATTTGTTTCTTCAGAGGTTTGGAACAGAACTAGGAGTGTCTAGGGTTGTGTTCAGCTTCTACACTTCAAATACTCCGTATGCAATGGCACTCTGACTGTTCGAATATGGTTCTTTAAATACAGAAACTAAGTGCGTGTTCGTTTATACGGAGTAGAATAAATAAATCTTAACCTGACTCTAAATCAAAACGATTTTAGAGTGAAAAGTGTCAAAAGAGTAGCCAAATTGAAATCAATTTGTGAAATAAAACTTTTAGAGTCTATTTTTTTACGCCGAACACCAATAATCTTACTCCGTTTACTCCAATACTGTACCCGAACCAATAAAGTAGTTAGTCAAACTGTTGGGAAATGGCTTTTTAGTGTAAATAGACTTGGGAGTGCAAATAATCTGACTCTATTTACTCCGAAAACAGTTTGTGGAAATTCAAAGAGGCAAATAGAGTACAATTTAAGGCCCTCCGTTATTCACTCACAACTGTTCGATTATTCTTATTTTTTAGAACTTCCTCCAAAGGTGACTTAAAACTTTTGGAGTCTACTCCTTTTACTCTTTTTTTGTTAACTGAGTGCAAATAATCTTATTCTATTCACTCCGAACACATGCGAATCAGTGGATTATAAAATAGTTAAAAAAGTGCAAATTTGCACTAATTCGAGTAAAAAGAGTATTCGGAGCAGAATAAGAGCATCTATAGTAGAGTTGTGTTCGGCTTTTTAACTTCAAGTACTCTGTAGGTCCCGACTGTTAAGTTATGGCCTTCTAGAGTAAATAGAGTAACTAAATGTAGGTTTGTTTAAACGGAGTGGAGTGAATTAATCTTACTCCAAAAGTTCCAGCCCGAAAAATAAATATTTTCAAAGTAGAGTTGCCTTTATTTATTAATCTAGTGCAGATGTTTTGGTGCAATAGAATTGAAGTTGGAGTAAATAAGATTAAATATGAGTTTGCCTTTCTCACTCCAAGTACTCCGATTGTTCTAATATGTCCATTTAGATCAAATAGAGTGACTGAATTCATGTTCGTTTGAACTTAGTGGAGTGGAAAGTGTCAAAAGAATGGCTAAGTAGAGATGAATCTATGAAATGGAACTTTTACAGTCTGCTCTTTTTACACTGAACGCTAATAATTTTACTCCGTTTACTCCAGAACAGTACTCGAAACAATAAATTAGCTACTCTAACTGTTCGAAAACTGTTTTTTTTAGAATAGAGTAACCAAAACTTATCTCAAAATCTTCACAAATATCTAGAGTAACTGTCTAATATAAATTTTTGAAAATTGGAGCAGATTTATTAATCTTGGAGTGTACTCTTTTACTCGAACACAAATAATATTACTCCACTTACTCTGTGTAAATATACGGAGTAATTAGAACGCACTCCAAAATTTCCAACTTGTGATCTGAAACTTTTAGAGTCTATTCTTTTCGTGTTATCCGAGTGCAAACAATCTTACTCCACTTACTCCGAAAACAATTAGATATTACTCCACTTATTCCGAATAAAAAATCCGAATTGATGGAGTATAAAAAAGTCAAATATTGGATGCTTTAAATAGTCCGTGAGCACTCCAATTGTCAAACTTGTCCCAATTCGAGTAAAAAGACTCAAAAAGCTCAGAATACAACGGAGCATCTAGAGTTGTGTTCAGCTTTTTCACTCCAAGTAATTTGTATCTACCCAACTGTTCGATTACGGTTTTTTAGAGTATATAGAGTAACTGTGTATGTTTGTTTATACGGAGTGGAGTAAACAAATCTTACTTTGGCTCTAAAATCATACGAAGAGTAGTCAAGTTGAAATCAATCTGTCAATTTGAACATCTAGTATCTACTCTTTGTACATCGAATATCAATAATCTTACTCCGTTTACTCTAAAACGGTTTTCGAACCAATAAAGTAGCTACTATAAATGTTCGGAAATGGCTTTTTAGTATAAATAGAGTAGTTAGAGTAACTAAAACACACTTGCGAGAGTAAATAATCTTACTCTTTTTACTCCGAAAACAATTAGTATAGTATAAAAGAGTCAAATAGAGTTTAATTGGGGCCTTTAGAGTACTCTGTATTCACTCTAACTATTCAATTATTTTTTCTTTAGTGTAATTATATAGAGTAAAGCAATAAGAACTCACTCTAAAGGTTTCACCACCTGATCTCAAACTTTTAAAATCTACTCCTTTTGCTCATTTCTTGTTTCCCGATTGCAACTAATCTTACTCCACTCACTCCGAATCCAATATCCGAATCAGTGAATTATAGAATAGTGGAAAATAATGCAATTTTGAGTATTCTAACTGTCAAATTAATTTTAATTCGACTAAAAAGAGTCCTCAGAGGTTTGGAACAGAACTAGGAGTGTCTAGGGTTGTGTTCAGCTTCTACACTTCAAATACTCCGTATGCAATGGCACTCTGACTGTTCGAATATGGTTCTTTAAATACAAAAACTAAGTGCGTGTTCGTTTATACAAAGTAGAATAAATAAATCTTAACCTGGCGATTTTAGAGTGAAAAGTGTCAAAAGAGTAGCGAAGTTGAAATCAATATGTGAAATAAAACTTTTGGAGTCTATTCTTTTTACGCCGAACACCAATAATCTTACTCCGTTTACTCCAATACTGTACCGGAACCAATAAAGTAGTTAGTCAAACTATTGGGAAATGGCTTTTTAGTGTAAATAGACTTGGGAGTGCAAATAATCTGACTCTATTTACTCCGAAAACAATTTGTGGAAATTCAAAGAGGCAAATAGAGTACCATTTAAGGCCCTCCGTTATTCACTCTAACTGTTCGATTATTCCTTTTTTTTAGAACTTTCTCCAAAGGTGACTTAAAACTTTTGGAGTCTACTCCTTTTACTCTTTTTTTGTTAACGGAGTGCAAATAATCTTACTCTATTCACTCCGAATACATGCGAATCAGTGGATTATAAAATAGTTGAAAAAAGTGCAAATTTGCACTAATTCGAGTAAAAAGAGTATTCAGAACAGAATAAGAGCGTCTAGAGTAGAGTTGTGTTCGGCTTTTTAACTTCAAGTACTCTGTAGGTCCCGACTGTTCAGTTATGGCCTTCTAGAGTAAATAGAATAACTAAATGTAATTTTGTTTAAACGGAGTGGAGTGAATTAATCTTACTCCAAAAGTTCCAGCCCGAAAAATAAAGATTTTTAAAGTAAAAGTTGCCTTTATTTATTAATCTAGTGCAGATGTTTTGGTGCAATAGAATTGAAATTGGAGTAAATAAGATTAAATTTGAGTTTGCCTTTCTCACTCCAAGTACTCCGATTGTTCTAATATGTCCATTTAGATCAAATAGAGTGACTGAATTCATGTTCGTTTGAACTTAGTGGAGTGGAAAGTGTCAAAAGAATGGCTAAGTAGAGATGAATCTATGAAATGGAACTTTTACAGTCTGCTCTTTTTACACTGAACGCTAATAATTTTACTCCGTTTACTCCAGAACAGTACTCGAAACAATAAATTAGCTACTCTAACTGTTCGAAAACTGTTTTTTTTAGAATAGAGTAACCAAAACTTATCTCAAAATCTTCCCAAATATCTAGAGTAACTGTCTAATATAAATTTTTGAAAATTGGAGCAGATTTATTAATCTTGGAGTGTACTCTTTTACTCGAACACAAATAATATTACTCCACTTACTCTGTGTAAATATACGGAGTAATTAGAACGCACTCCAAAATTTCCAACTTGTGATCTGAAACTTTTAGAGTCTATTCTTTTCGTGTTATCCGAGTGCAAACAATCTTACTCCACTTACTCCGAAAACAATTAGATATTACTCCACTTATTCCGAATAAAAAATCCGAATTGATGGAGTATAAAAAAGTCAAATATTGGCTACTCTGTGAGCACTCTAAAAGTCAAAATTTTTCTAATTCGAGTAAAAAGAGTCAAAAATCTCAGATTAGAACTGGGAGCATCTAGAGTTGTGTTAAGCTTTTTCACTCCAAGTAATTTGTAGCTACTCCGACTGTTCGATTACAGCTTTTTAGAGTAAATACAGTAACTAAATGCATTTTCGTTTCCACAGATTAGAGTAAATAAATCTTACTCCAAAAGTTTCAGCTCGAAAAAGAAAGATTTTCAAAGTGAAAGAAATGGAATTAAATTAAATTTAAGTTCGTCTTTTTCACTCCAAGCTCCAAGTACTCCGATTGTTCATTTATGGAGATTTTCAAAGTTAAAGCTGCCTTATTTATTGTTCCAGTGCAGATGTTCTGGTGCAATAGAATTGAAATTTTACTAAATTAAATTAAAGTTGAATTCGCCTTTTTCATTTTAAGTATTTCGATTGTTCGATCATGGTCTTATAGAGTAAATAGAGTAGCTTACTGCATGTTTGTTTATACGGGTTTATAAATCTTACTCGGGCTCTAAACCCGAACGATTTTAGAGTGAAAAGTGTCAAAAGAGTTGCCAAGTTGGAATCAATTTGTGAAATGAAACTTGAGTCTACTCTGCTTACGCCGAACGCCATTATTTTACTCTATAATGATACCCCCGAACCAATAAAGTAACTACTCCAACTGTTCGGAAGTGGCTTTTCAGTGTAAATAGAGGACAACTCACTCCAAAAGTTTCACCTCTGAGAAAGCAAATTTCAATAAGATAAGTACCTAACGGTGAAATTTTCCCCGAACGCAAATATTTTTAGTTCGTTTACTCCGGATTCGAATATAAATTAGTGGAGTAAAAACTACTATAAGATGTGTTCGTTTTTGTCATCTTTTTCGTCGATTTGCTCTGAAATTTGGACAAACAAGTGATTTGTGAATTGAAATTGTCACGTGCCTGTCAAAATTTTGGAGCAAATTGATGAAAAAGATGACAATTCCGAACACGGCAACAGAGTAGAGTAATTAAACTCACTCCAAAGATTATTTTAATAATGACATAATCTTACTTTTAACCAGTGGTGTATAAAATAGTCAAAAAAAGTACAATTTTGAACGAATTGGGCACTCTAGAGTACTCCGTATTCATTTTAACTTTTCAATTATTTTTTTTTAGAGTAAATATACAGAGTAGAGTAATTAGAACTCACTCCAAAGGTTCTACCTCGTGATTCGAAATTTTTAGAGAGAGAGTTTATTTACTTTTTTCTTGTTACCTGACAGCTATAGGCTATAGGTGACATTTGACAGATGATCGAATGTCATTTTAGTACCCCGAAATTCCACTAGGGGGCGTTTGGGGTTATACAAAACAATCGTCCTTAAATTGTTCATTTTTAATGAGCAAAAAAAAATACAAATCAAAATCGTTTTCTAATTCTAATGAATCACAATTATTCAAGTAATAAAACACTAAACAAGGGGTGGGAATGGCAGCCATTATGTCTAAATCGGTGAAATTTGAATTGTACCAAATTTAGTACAATTATTATATTGTACTAAATTATTATATTGTACGAAAAATAGTACAATTGTGATTGTAATAAAAATTAGGAAATTTCATTATTTAATGCATGTAATTCATCAAATTACAATATGTACTAAATCTTGTACAAAATTATTCACGATTGCTTTTAGTACAATCATCTACCACACGAAATTTAGTACATTTGTACAGAAAATAAGTCAATTTAAATTCTTACTTACAATTATTGTTAATTGTACCAACCTCAACAAAACAATTCCGCTCACCCCTTCTTAACTAATAAATGTCAAATAATGTCAATTTTTTTTTTGACAGATAAAATATAAATATAAAACACCGTAACATTCATAAAATAATTTTTTTGTGCTATTGCCGTCTCGTCTAAACCTAAAAACTTCTACGATATTCGAGAGTCGAATAATACTAATTGTACTAAAATTAGTACAATTATGTATAATTGTACTAAAACTAGTACAATTATCAATTTTACTAAAATTTAAGCTTAAAATCCTATTTAGTATAAAATACTGACCAACGTTTTATACAATAAAAATTCAAAAAAAAAAAGTACCGAGCCACCATCACATATTGCACTTTTGTTGCTTTTAAAGCTACCAACAGATGGCGCTAAATGGTACTTTTTCTTTCTTAGTCAGGGGGCAAATAACTGAAAAGTTTAAACTTGTTTCTGATATGAGGCCTGACGTCTTCTTTCTAAAAAAATTAAAAAAAAAAAACATTTATTTTTATTTTTATTTTTTTCACTCACCAATTGTACGAGATCTTCCAAGAACGGCAACAGTTTCATGAGTTCCGAATCGGTACGGTCCACGAACCAGCTTTCGATCGGGATGCCGTTGTTGAGCTGGAAATTAATTGTACTAAATTAAAAATTGTACTAGATTTAGTACAATTTCGGAAAAATGTTTGCTTGTATTTAAAAAAAAATTGTACTAGATCTAGTACAATTTTTTTGAGAGTGAATATGAATTGTACTAAATTTAGTACAATTATTAGAAATTAGATGTAGGTACTAAATCGTTTCAATTGTTTCATAACATAATAATTATACTAAAAAAAGTCAAAATTTTTGAGTTAATTCAGAGTGTGTACTTTTAAAGTTATTTTCAAGTACTTTTCTGTTGAACTTTAAAGTTGGATTTAATGTTTCAAGTACTCATTTTTAACAGATCAAAATTAGATGTTGTTTCTATGTACTTTTTAACAATTTGGTACATTTAAAGTTAATTTCTAGTACTTTTCAACACTTTAAAGTTGAATTTGAAGTTTCAAGTACTCATTTTTAACAATTTAAAATTAGTTTTGAAGTTGATTCTGAGTAATTTTAAAGTTATTTTCAAATACTTTTCTAAAGTTTTTTCAAATTTTCAAGTACTCATCTTCAACTAATTTAAAGTACTTTAAAGTTATTTTCAAGTACTTTTCAACACAAAGTTATTTTCAAGTATTTTTCAACACATAAAGTTCAATTTCAAGTTTCAAGTTTTCATCTTTCAAATTAGTTTTTTAAAGTACTTTTTAACAATATAAAGTACTTTTAAAGTTATGTTCAAGTATCTTCCAACACATAAAGTTGGATTTCAAGTTTTCATCTTTAAAAATTTAAAATTAGTTTTGAAGTAGTTTTAAAGTACTTTGTAACAATTTGAAGTACTTTTAAAATTATTTTCAAGTACTTTCCAACACATAAAGTTGGATTTCAAGTTTTCATCTTTAACAGTTTAAAATTAGTTTTAAAGTACTTTTCAACAATTTAAAGTACTTTTAAAGTTATTTTCAAGTACTTTTCAACACATAAAGTTGGATTTTTGGTTTCAAGTTCTCATCTTTAACAGATTAAAATAAGGTTTGAAGTTATTTTAAAGTACATTTTAACAATTTAAAGTACTTTTAAAGTTATTTTCAAATACTTTTCAACACATAAAGTTGGATTTCAAATTTTAAGTTTTCCTCTTTAACAGTTTAAAATTAGTTTTGAAGTTGTTTTAAAGTACTTTTTACCAATTTAAAGTACTTTTAAAGTTATTTTCAAGTATTTTTCAACACATAAAATTAGGTTTCAAGTTTCAAGGTTTCATCTTTGACAGTTTAAAATTAGTTTTGAAGTACTTTTTTACAATTTCAAGTACTTTTAAAGTTATTTTCAAGTACTTTTCAACATATAAAGTTGGATTTCAAGTTTCAAGTTTTCATCTTCAACAGTTTAAAATTAGTTTTGAAGCTGTTTTAAAGTACTTCTTAACAATTCAAAGTACTTTTAAAGTTATTTTCAAGTATTTTTCAACACATAAAGTTGGATTTCAAGTTTCAAGTTCTCATCTTTAACAATTTAAAATTAGTTTTGAAGTACTTTTTAACAATTTAAAGTCCTTTTAAAGTAATTTTCAAGTACTTTTCAACACATAGAGTTGGATTTCAAGTTTCAAGTTCTCAACTTTAACAGTTTAAAATTAGTTTTGAAATTGTTTTAAAGTACTTTTTAACAATTTGAAGTTCTTTTAAAATTATTTTTCAAGTATTTTTCAACACGTAAAGTTGGAATTCAATTTTCAAGTTTTCATCTTTAACAGTTTAAAATTAGTTTTGAAGTTTTTTTAAAGTACTTTTTAACAATTTAAAGTACTTTTAAAGTTATTTTCAAGTACTTTTCAACACATAAAGTTGAATTTTAGGTTTCACGTTCTCATCTTTAACAGTTTAAAATTAGTTTTGAAGTTGTTTTAAAGTACTTTGTAATAATTTGAAGTACTTTTAAAATTATTTTCAAGTACTTTTCAACACATAAAGTTGGATTTCAAGTTTCAAGTTTTCATCTTTAACAGTTTAAAATTAGTTTTGAAGTTGTTTTAAAGTACTTTGAAAATTATTTTCAAGTACTTTTCAACACATAAAGTTGGATTTCAAGTTTCAAGTTCTCATCTTTAACAGTTCAAAATTAGTTTTGAAGTTGTTTTAAAGTACTTTTTAACAATTTAAAGTTCTTTTAAAGTTATTTTCAAGTATTTTTCAACACCTAAAGTTGGATTTCAAGTTTCAAGATCTCATCTTCAACAGTTCAAAAAATTAGTTTTGAAGTTGTTTTAAAGTACATTTTAACAATTTAAAGTACTTTTAAAGTTATTTCAAGTACTTTTCAATACATAAAGTTGGATTTCAAGTTTCAAGTTCTCATCTTTAACAGTTTTAAATTAATTTTAAAGTTGTTTTAAAGTACTTTTTTAAAATTTAAAGTACTTTTAAAGTTATTTTCAAGTATTTTTCAACACATAAAGTTGGATTTCAAGTTTCAAGTTCTCATCTTTAACAATTTAAAATTAGTTTTAAACTACTTTTTAAAAAATTAAAGTTATTTTCAAGTACTTTTCAATACATAAAGTTGGATTTCAAGTTTCAAGTTCTCACCTTTAACAGTTTTAAATTAATTTTAAAGTTGTTTTAAAGTACTTTTTTAAAATTTAAAGTACTTTTAAAGTTATTTTCAAGTATTTTTCAACACATAAAGTTGGATTTCAAGTTTCAAGTTCTCATCTTTAACAATTTAAAATTAGTTTTAAACTACTTTTTAAAAATTTAAAGTTATTTTCAAGTACTTTTCAATACATAAAGTTGGATTTCAAGTTTCAAGTTCTCACGTTTAACAGTTTTAAATTAATTTTAAAGTTGTTTTAAAGTACTTTTTTAAAATTTAAAGTACTTTTAAAGTTATTTTCAAGTATTTTTCAACACATAAAGTTGGGTTTCAAGTTCTCATCTTTAACCATTTAAAATTAGTTTTAAACTACTTTTTAAAAATTTAAAGTTATTTTCAAGTTCTTCTTAATACATAAAGTTGGATTTCAAGTTTCAAGTTCTCATCTTTAACAATTTTAAATTAATTTTCAAATTGTTTTAAAGTACTTTTTTACAATTTAAAGTACTTTTTGAAGTTATTTTCAAGTACTTTTCAACACATAAAGTTGGATTTCAAGTTTTCATCTTTAACAGTCTAAAATTAGTTTTTGAAGTTGTTTTAAAGTACTTTTTAACAATTTAAAGTACTTTTAAAGTTATTTCCAAGTACTTTTCAACACATAAAGTTGGATTTCAAGGTTTCATCTTTAACAGTTTAAAAATAATTTTAAAGTTATTTAAAAGTACTTTTTAACAATTTAGAGAACTTTCAAAGTAATTTTCAAGCACTTTTCAACACATAAAGTTGGATTTCAAGTTTCAAGTTCTCATCTTTAACAGTTTAAAATTAGTTTTGAAGTTGTTTTAAAGTACTTTTTAACAATTTAAAGTATTTTTAAAGTTATTTTCAAGTAGTTTCCAGTACTTTAAAATTTTAAAATTCGACCTAATACCTTCAGTACCTTTTAATATTTGAAATTTTTTAAAAAAATTTCAAGTACCTATTTTTTGAAACAGTTTAAAATTAGTTTTGAAATTTTCAAAACTTGTTTCGAGTACTTTTTAACAATTTCAAAGTTCCAGTACTTTAAAAATTTCAAAATTCGATTTAATACTTTCAAGTACTTTTTATTATTTAAAAGTTTAAAAAAAATTTAAGTATCTATTTTTGAAACAGTTTAAAATTAGTTTTGAAGTTTTCAAAACTTGTTTCAAGTACTTTTCAACAACTTCAAAGTTATTTTCAAGTAGTTTTTAGTATTTTAAAACTTCAAAATTTGACTTAATATTTTCAAGTACCTTTTAATATTTGAAAGCTTAAAAAAAAATTTCAAGTACCTATTTTTTGGAACAGTTTGAAATTCTCAAAACTTGTTTCAAGTACTTTTCAACAACTTCAAAGTTATTTTCAAGTAGTTTCCAGTACTTTAAAACTTCAAAATTTGACTTAATGTTTTCAAGTACCTTTTATTATTTGAAAGTTTTTTAAAAAATATCAAGTACCTATTTTTTGAAGCAGGTTAAAATTAGTTTTGAAGTTTCAAGTACTTTTCAACAACTTCAAAGTTATTTTCAAGTAGTTTCCAGTACTTTAAAATTTCAAAATTCGACTTGACACTTGCAAGTACCTTTTAATGTTTGAAAGTTTTTGAAAAAAATTTCAAGTACCTATTTTTTGGAACAGTTTAAAATTAGTTTTGAAATTTTCAAAACTTGTTTCAAGTACTTTTTAACAACTTCTAAGTTATTTTTAAGTAATTTCCAGTATTTTAAAATTTCAAAATTCGACTTAATACTTTCAAGTACCTCTTAATATTTAAAAGTTTTTAAAAAAATTTCGAGTACTTATTTTTTGAAGCAGTTTAAAATTAGTTTTGAAATTTTCAAAACTTGTTTTAAGTACTTTTCAGCCACTTTAAAGTTATTTTCAAGTAATTTCCAGTACTTTAAAAATTTCAAAATTCGACTTAATACCTTCAAGTGCCTTTTATTATTTGAAATTTTTTTCAAAAATTTCAAGTATCTATTATTTGAAACAGTTTAAAATTAGTTTTGAAGTTTTTAAAATTTGTTTCAAGTACTTTTTAACAACTTTAAAGTTATTTTCAAGTAGTTTCCAGTACTTTAAAATTTCAAATTTCGAGTTAATACTTTCAAGTACCTTTCACTATTTGAAAGTTTTAAAACAAATTTCAAGTACCTATTTTTTGGAACAGTTTGAAATTAGTTTTGAAGTTTTTAAAACTTGTTTCAAGTACTTTTCAACAACTTTAAAGTTATTTTCAAGTAGTTTCCAGTACTTTAAAACTTCAAAATTTGACTTAATACTTTCAAGTACCTTTTAATATTTGAAAGTTTTCAAAAAATTTTCAAGTACTTACCTATTTTTTGGAACAGTTTGAAATTAGTTTTGAAATTTTCAAAACTTGTCTCAAGTACTTTTCAACAACTTCAAAGTTATTTTCAAGTAATTTCCAGTACTTTAAAATTTCAAAAT